GAGAAATGCTCTACTAGTTTCGAACCACAGAGGGATTCTTCCTCATGAGCAGCGTGCGCGGTCGCGGCGACGTCGCGCTTTGTGGTTCGAAACTAGTAGAGCTTTTCTCAGTATATTCACGTGAGTAACCCGCGATTTTAGTTAATTTAGTATGCCTCACGATAGTTATTATAAAAACATAGATCACAATATAATCTCACAATTTTGAAAATAAATCTCGATAAAATACTGCAGAGAACAATCGAGATTGTGTCTCATATACAGGATTTACACGCACATCTTGTTACTCGCTGAAACAATAGAAATAACAAGATCTGAAACATCAAGACTTCAGACCTTTTTAAATGGGAATGTACAGTCAGCACTTCAAAATCTTTCGAGTAAAACATACCATTTTCTAGCAGTAATTTAATGCTTCGAAATGGTATGGTTTTCTACTAAAATTATACTACTTACTTAGCCGGAACTTTTTTGTGGGACTAATTGGGTCCTTGCCAACTAGTCAAATTCAATACTTTTATCGAACTGTCAAAAACGACAGTTTACTATGAATTTTATACGAGATTGTGTATTGTGACGTCACGTTTTTTTAGCGTAAAACAGCGTACTTATTTCTTAATTATTTGCTGGAAAAATATTAAAATTAAGTAGGTCATAAAATCAATTAATGAAAGTGTGATTATTTTTTAATATTACATTGTAATTTATTTTTGATGTAGGCAAGTACCCAATTACTGCTTTGTAAATGACAAAAAAATGCTTTATCTTAGTCTTCTTAAACCACTGACATCAGAATTTAGCTTCTAACTGTACACCAGCACCGTATGCAGATGATATCTCTCAGAATTTGCATAACGAAAATGATTTCACAACTTACACATGAAATGGGTAAAGGGAGGGAGTAAAAGAGGAACACGTTGAAAGGAATAATAGGAACGTGCTTCTGCGTGATATGGAACGTAATGGAACGTTTTCGTTTGTTTTAATAATAATCATTACCACGAGTGCGTTCGCCGATTGTACCAACTTACCTATTTGGGGAGTAATGAGCAATTTCGCTGATTGTACTTTGTTTTAAATTTTCGTGAATGCAAGAAATACGTGACGATCGTGTTGTTTTAGTGGTGCAAGTAGGATAGTACTTATTTAATGATATCTAGTTGATTTTTTTAAATTGAAAAATCTTTACCCTTATTATTAATTTATTTGATTACGTGTCTTTAATTGTATATATACATTTTATTAGACTTTACTAATATAGATATTTATAATAAAGTGTAATAATAACATTCGACCTCTATTTTTTTAATGTTGTCCCACACTAGGATTTTCTTCTGTATCGTCGGTACGCTTACAAACATACAAGTTGACATACACATGACACCCCGACCCAGAACAACATATCGATCACACAAAGAGTTGCTCCGTGTAGAAATCGAACCCGCTACACGTTGCGCGGCAGCCAGTTATCCAGCCACTGCACCAACCGCAAAGTCAATTTACTTTAAGGTTTTTCCATAAAGCAAATATCACTTCATACAACATTTCGAACACACACCATGACCTCTTACTTCGTTGTCTATACTCCATATCAAAGGACATCATACAACACAACACGATCGTTACCCATTACCTTTTAAAACAGAATAAATAATAAACAATCCCGTTACAGGAATCAGTAAAAATAAACGAGCATTTAAGTACACATCGTCTTCTCTAAGCATATTACAGAAAAATACGTAAACAGAGGAAATGTTTAATAAATCTGAATGTTCAAATATATTTTCTGTGTAAAGGGGATTTTTAGAAGTAGGTATGTCGTCTATTATGTTTGTAGGTGTAATATTTTTACAGTCAACCCAGATATTAGTAAAGAGGTAGTTAATAGATTTTTTTGGGTAACGTCTTCATTATTACCTTGTGACAGACCTCTGCTGTACGCTGAACTATGACTTATTTTACATGAGAGGGCTTGTCACAATTGTTGGTATATAACGAAGTGCGTAAGGTTGCCATCTGGCGCATAATATGTAAAACTAAGTTTGGAAGAGCCATGCTTCGGCACGAAAAGGCCGGCTCGACCAGAGTGATACACGGCCTCACAGAAAACCGACGTGAAGCAACGCTTGCGTTGTGTTTCGTCGTGTGAGTAAGGTTACAGGGGGCCCAATAACCCCACCCATTCCCCAATCCCTAAATCCCCAACAATCCTCAAACTCCTAATCTCCAAAAGGCCGGTAATGCACTTGTAACGCCGCTGGTGTTCCAGGTGTCCATGGGCAACGCCGATTTCTTACCATCAGGTGATCCTTTTGCTCGTTTACCGACTTATGTCATAAAAACTATCCATTAAATCAATGTCCACATAAACATAATTTTTTGGTATTTAAATATAATAATATTCGTGCAATACGGCCTTATTATTCGTAATTCTTTAAAAATCTGCATGCAGGCCATATGCGATCAATCCATCTGGATTGAAGATCACAGTTCAAAATCTTCAGGTTTATCTGAGAATATTGCCGCTGAGTCTCTGTCAATTGTGTAGTCTCCAAATCGGCTTCTACTAACGACGTCATATCCCAGACGAACTTACATTCAAATTCACACCGTATCGTATGATAATTAAGTATTTTTTCGACTGTATAACTTAAATATTCGTTCTATGAGCCTCCTCAGACGGAATTGTTATTTTTACGTCTCACGCACTTAAAGCACATTGTCTTGGAGACATTTTATTCAAATACTGAGATGGGTTCGAATTTTCTTAACTTTTTTTTGGTAGTCTAAATATAGGGCTTTTGGCTCAAAAAACACAGTCAATGTGGGTGATGACACAGACCGATCGTTTATTGTTTTAACGAGAATAGCCTTAGGAGTTGGAAGAACTTTTTTAGTTTAAAAAGTAGATAATAAAGAGCTATGTAGTTCTATGTAGGTTAAGACTGAAAATGAAACTGTAGTTGTTTTTACGCATGTATTGTTTTTGCTGGAAAATGTTAGACGATGTTTTGTTTTAGAAACAAAATTTTACTAAACATGAGCAAAGTTTGACCGTATTTTGTTTAGTGTGACATAATATTATTATGATGTCAGTTATGTCATTATTATTCGTTTGCTATGAAGCTGGACATAATTGAATAGTTTCTTGGGTCAAAAATAATTAATTATTTTGTTTTTTTTATGACAATTAAATAATTACAAAAACAAACAATGAAATTGTTTTTGGCACAGAAAGCTTATTACAGTATAACGGAATTTTTAAGTGAGTCAGTGATTGTTATAAATAAATAACAATAAAAACTAACATTGCCCTAATTAAGGTTGTGTCATAGTGGAGGACACAAAGAAACATATTGTTAATATTATTACAATTGAATGTTATTAAATAACAAGTAAAATATATAATGTATAATAATAATTAAATCATTTTTAGTAAATATTAATTGAATATGAACAAATTAATTAATAATGTGAGGTACATTATACTGCAGATATTTAATGTAGGTATAAGTGTAAATTTTAAAATTAATGTAATAATTCACAGTCATCAAAAAAAAATGTTTTTTTTTAATTTTTTCGATAATGTAACCCGACGTGCGAAAATACTACTAAAAACTGCTTACTCTGTGGAAATTATAGACAATAGAGGAAAGTGGTGGAGAAATTATAAAGGACATTAATATCAACGTTAAACTCTGTGATATCAAATGTCTAACTATTACAGTTGTGCCATAATAACTACTTTTTCATTTAAAAATGTGCAATAGTACCGCAACTACAATAAGTAATAATGCAAAAGACTAATTCAAAAACCCAACGTCTGCCAGAAGTCATTATTATACGCGGACGAAGTCGCGGGGAACAGCTTGTATTTTATGAACTTTCGAATACTTAGATGGCATCCCCAAACCAAGGATGGGGAGTACGGTAAACCCTTTAATATCTTCAGACGTTTTCGTTCGGCTTTGTGAGTTCTTAGTTTAGCAATCGACATACCCTAACAGAACTGGTGATTCGCGCGCGTGTATAACATGCGCGCGGAGGCACGTCGCCGGGGCGAAACTCCGCTGCCGCGCCAAATAAGTGCGTGGCGGGATGAGCTCCGGCGCGATCTCATGGCGGAATGGCAGCAACGACTGTCGCAACCGGGGGCTGGGCTCGCTGCCATTGCAGCGGTAAGTCCCCTCTTTGAGGAGTGGCTTGAGAGACGCTACGGCGTCCTCACCTACCGCCTGACGCAGGTCCTCACCGGACATGGAAGTTTCGGGAGGTACCTGTGTCTGATGGGGCGGGAGGAAACGCCCGGGTGTCATCACTGCGAGGACCGCCCTGAGGACACGGTGGAACACACAGTGGGAGAATGCCCTGCGTGGGCTGAGCACCGCCGTGCCCTCAGGGAAGTGATCGGCGATGGCGACCTCTCGCGTCCGGGCCTAGTGCAGCCATGATGCGGAGCGAGGGGATTGGGATGCCGTCTCCTCCTTTTGCGAAGCAGTCATGCTAGCTAAGGAGGAGGCGGGACGCGTGAGGCAGCGAAGCGCTGCCTCCTCGCAACCCAGCCATCGCGAAGGACACACCGGCGTCGGGGATCGCGAGACGATCTCCGGCCACCGTAAGCGCGGGCCTGCGGACGGCGAGCATGGGTGGCTCCCCGTCCGACCAGAAACAGACCCGAGCGTACGGCGCGTCGCGTTCCGCGCGCGCCTCAAAGAGCCATCAGACCACCACAGATGGGGCCCAATAGGGCCGATGCCGATTCGGAGTCGCGGAGAACCTAACGGGTAACCGGGCTCCGCTCGACGTGCAGGAGAAGGAACGGGGTGGTTTTTAGTCAGTAAGAGTCTGACACTCCCTTCCGCCTCACCCAGGCGGGAGCAGTCATTCGATGATTTTCCCCCCTTGAAAAAAAAAAAAAAAAAAAAAAACAGAACTGGTGATAACGATCACAATTATGATTAAAGATAATGATGTTTAATATTCTCTTCTTTCAATTCCAGGTGTCAACCAGAACGGGCATCGTGTCCCACTATGTTCGACTGCAGATAGTGGTGCCAGAAGCCTTCATCCTTGGCTCAGGGGAGCACCATGTGGATATGGGTAGCGTCATCCATCTCATCTGCATTGTTGAAAAGGTATGATACTTCTTTAAGTGGTGTAGATTGAACTGAATTAATAGACATAAATTATGTATCTTTGGACCTAGATCTGTTCTTTGTCTAAAATCCCATTATTAAAATACACACAACGCATAAAGTATCGTCGAATACGCCTCTTCTCGCTGCTGCTTTTCTGGAATTATGATCTAGATATAATTAAAAAATAACGTCCAAATTCTCATAGTCCACTTACAACACTCCTTTCAACAAAAACCTCGCCACAAGAACGCTCAACCTACTTTCCGAAATAAAAGAAAAAAAAACGCGAAAGCAAAAAAAAACAATTTAAAAACGTTCCAGAAAGTTCCCGCGCGAATTATAGAGCGGACTAATTGCATGTTTTACAAAAAAATTATATATTTTTGCGCGGGCACCGTTTTTTTTTTTCTTTTCCAACATTATTTTTCTTAACGAGGCCAGCTTGGCTTTGGTAGTGTGTAGAATCGCTTCGGCGGTAATTAAGAGCTGTGAGGTCGTGTTTGCGGGAACGATCTATCGATTTACCGACTCGAGAGCGGATATTTTCGTTTAAAGTCGCCATTAAAAGACGGCAGTTGGTCGGTGATTATCTTGAATTAAAATGGCTGGGGTTGTTGTTTGATACAAGTAAATCTTTGCAGAACCCATCCTGGCTAAGATTTAAACTATTGAGTTTATATTGAGCTACTGTGGCATAATTTTAGACACTGATTTAAATACAGATATGAATAATGTACTTTTATGCAAGGATGGATGCTGATATAATTATTAAGTCTTATATTAAAACAATAATCTAATTTATTACGATTTTCAAATATGCACTTAAACAGAAACAAGAATGCCACTATACTTCGTTCGGCTTCAATAGGCTTTTTTGAGGGGGGAAATCATCGAAATACTTCTCCCACCTGGGTGAGGCGGGAGGGAGTGTCAGACTCTTACTGACTAAAAACCACCCCGTTCCTACTCCTGCCCTTCAAGCCGGCGCCCCGGCAACCCGTTAAGTCCTCCGCGGCCCCGTATCGACATCAGCCCTATTGGGCCCCATCTGTGCTTTAATAGGTCTATGATCTATATCAATATAATGTTTCTCAATTATGTATCTTCTAACAACAGTCAATTTATAAAAAAAAAAATACAATTGATTGTGAGACCGACCTGACGTCAAATATGAACCAAATCATAAGTTATGCTAGGCCAAAGTATTTATAAAAATGTGCCCTTCTATACTGCTAAATTTCAGTGATAAAAATCTCATAGCATCCATTGAAACATCTGCCTTCCTCCTCAAGGATTAAACTGTCAAACACCAAGCGGTCACCGGTGACCGCGACCTATTGTTCTTTGATTGTGTCTATAAAACCGGTACTCGACGAGTTAACAAGCATAAATATTATTTACTAGCTTCTTCCGCGCGGTTTCACACGCTCTGCTCAGCTCCTATTGGTCGTATCGTATGTTTTAATAGCCTATAGCCATCCTCGATAAATGCGCTATCCATCACAAAAATAATTATTCAAATCAGACTTGTAGTTACGGAGATTAGCGCGTTCAAATAAACAAACAAACAAACAAAGTTTTCCTCTTTATAATATTAGTGTGGATAAATAAGATTTATATAATACATAGTATAAGATGATATCCTATACCTCAATGATGGCGGACTTATACCATCTAAAGCCGGTTATTATAACGTCACACCTGGTTTAGGCTCTCACGCCGAAATGCGTTTTCAATACATTAGTGCTTCAGTAAGCATGAGTATCGATCGGTTAATACCGTAGGCAAGCTGAACGCAGTAATTAGTGGTACGCTCCTAATTGTTGCTCTACTTAATTATAATATCATGGGTTTTGTACGGTAGAGGGGATCGGCAGAAGTGTTATAGTGTAGTGGGTAGTGTAATTATAGTGGCTATTTTGTAAGTAATTGTGATAGTTAATAAATTGTTCCTTGTTTATGGTACACAGATAATAGTAGTTATTATTTCCATATATTTTTTTTTAAATTTCTCTAAAGTTACATTTTTAAATACTACAGTATAAAAAATAATATTTAAAAATATAAAAATAGGAGCCGACCAGTAGTGGGAGCATGGTCCAAGCTACCGGTGGTTAGGGCTCCAGAGACAGAAACCTCCTCACGAATGCGCGCCGTTTCAAGGAGAACTGCCTTCTGTATCAGGCCCTTGACCCAACTGCCTAACGCTAGCCTCCTAAGGTGGTTGTCGAGGCTATTAGGGATTAACCCATTGGCCGACACGACTATCGGCACAATGATAACCGAATCTACATTCCACATGTCGACAACCTCGTGAGCCAAATCAAGATATTAGATTTTTTATCTTTTTCAGCTTTCACGAGGTTCTCATCATGAGGAATAGTGATATCGATTATCATCGTGCGGCGCACTTTATAATAGTAGTTATTATAACATTAGCAATTCACTCTGTCTGTGGAGCATGGCCAAGACTTCATTTTGTTTAACTATGAGCCTTGGTATTTTAAGTTATATGTTATTATTTTCTATTATACCTTGGTTTACCTTCGCTTTCTATTATATTTATTTTTTGTAGTTTTTAATTAAGTTTATGTTATGGTTTAATAAATGGTTTTTCTTTCTGCTTCTTTCTAGTTTTATGAATTAGAATTATTTTTAGAACATAAAATGACAATAATGTTTTTGTTATTCTGAGTCTAAATCTAGTCTAATATCGTATACTATTATAATATAAAGCAGAAGAAGGGTTTGTTTTCGTTAATCTCAGGACTAACGGTCCGATTTTCAAAATTGTTTTTGTGTTGGATAGTCAAATTATCGAGGAAGGTTATGGGCTATAAAACAACGCTATAATCAATAGGAGCCGAGTAAAGAAGGTGGTATCGCGCGAAAGTAGCTAGTTGTAGTTGAATATAAATTCACACTGTTTTAGACAACTTATATAACAATTAACAATGTAAAAGAAACCTATTTTTGTTGTTTGAGTTAATTTAAATAAAGAACGTAAAAAGATATGAGTTGAGATTTTTCAGACTTCATTTGATTACAATAAATTACCCTATAACAACTAAGGTTTCATTGAAAATAAACGTTCACATTTCAATTCAGTGGCAGATTAAATTCCATTTTATAACAAAAAATATCACATTACACGGTACAATTGCCCTTGTGTGCCACAAGCACCATATTCCCTTATTGCCCATCCCTAAATCCGGCCCTGGCAACGCATGACGTCAGCATAAACATGATACGAGATTTACATAATCGTGGTAATAGCGAAGCAAGGCGAGGCGAGGCGAACGAGTCGAGACGAACGAGACGAGACGAATGGTGACGTGTGAGGCAATGCCTGTTTGTTGGTATGCTTGCTATTCTCGCGTTGTCGCAGATAATTTGCATGTTCTGTCTCATACATTCTGACGGTGAATATTTTTGTGAAGGAATGCTTGCTTGTATGGAAATATGAACGGAGTTTTTTGTGTAGTTTTCGTATGCGTTACGTGGTTTGTGGCGATGGCAATATGTGTACCTATGTCTGCTGGTTTATTACAGTTTATTGCGACCTTTATGAAAGAGTTTGAAGTAGTCTTAGGGGCGATTTTTTTATCATCAGTTAATTCTTAATAGTGTATCACCATTTTATACCACTGTGCGCATGTTTGCTATCGCTTCCTCCGCTACTAAGGTTGATTTTTCTACCTGTAATGTTTTATTTGTTTAATAAAAATGGATTGTAAATTTTGGTAAAGTAAAGGGTAGGTTCATAAAGTCTTTCTATGTTAAGTAAAACCTACCGAGCACGCTTCTAGCTCCTTTAGCTTTCATCAGATATAGTATATATTATGCATCTGGCTAAAAGAAAGAAAGTAAAAGAATTCTATTAGCCCTTTTAAAAAAATAATATTCAATGAACTGCCTCGTTGGCTGAGAGGTCGCAAGTGCGACTGCCGAGGGGTCTCGTGTTTAATTCCCGTGTCGGGCAAAGTTTCACAGGGTTTAAAAAAAAATCTCAGTAGTAGCACGGAGTCTGGAATTGTGCCCGGTATATGGCAATAGGCTCACCCCCTATTACATGTGACTCGTAACATAAATAGTGAAAAGTGGGTGTTACATTGTACAGTGGCATACCACTTCGGGGATAAAAGCGTTTGCTGTTATGTATCATGTGTCTCAAGTTTTTACCTGAACGTAGGAAACCTTTTGACATACACACACTCTCATACTAAGCCTACTCCCCTTTCTTCTTCCTAAGGTGTGATGTTACGCATCAGTATTTAGACCTCAATACCAAAACATCGTTTCCAATTCATATCTTTGCCCATAACAAAGTTAACTACAGCCCCAATTTTCCTTCAATGAATAATCACTCTTACTCCTCACAAATAAAGACCATGTTAATAAACCACTAACGTTTAGTACTAGGGACAATGTTTACGAGCATGTGACGTGTCGTGCGAGTTTGGGGAGGTCGTAAAAATCGGTCGCCTCGGTTTGTCCCAAACACACAAACACAGGATCAGTTGGCATACCAAATAGTTAGCAAATACTCTATATTGTTACGTTTACAATGTGTGTACAGCTTTCTATCTTCAAGTACATATATCAGGAATCTTGTCATTAATTTGTTCTTTCGTATAGTGGAAATGTAGATTGTAAGTCTTTGACATCTTATGATGGTCTATTGATCACAATGGAGACTATCGGATAGGGTTCTGAGTTCGATTCTTAAACATGCCTACCGAAGGTTTGATTCGTGGACAAGGAAATGCTGCGCTTCTGATTTTTTGAAACATTCTAGATTCAGCTATAGTACCTAAAGCAAAATCTTTAAAATAACACATTTTTATACATTGCCCCACACTAGGATTTTTGTCCTGTGTCGTGGGTGCGTCTACAAACATACACATCACACCCAGATCTGGAACTACAATCTGTGGATCACACAACGAATTGTTCCGTGCGGAATCGACGCGACATCCTGTTGCCCAGCCACCGCACCAACCGTGCAGTCAAACATTAACAGCCACCTACAAAAGTCTAAAAGAAAACCACAAACTTCGACTGCCAGCCATATTTTTTTGCTAACCCAATTTTTTTCTCTTACTCCCAGAGCCCAACACCACCACAGTACGTATTCTGGTACCACAACGACCGTATGATCAACTATGACGCGACGCGGGGCGGGATAACTGTTGAGACTGAGCCTGGAGCCCGCACGCAGTCCCGGCTGACAGTCCGAGGAGCCACGCTGAAAGACTCCGGAAACTACACCTGCAGCGCGAGCAACACTGAGCCCGCTTCCATTCATGTCTTCGTTTCGGAAGGCAGTAAGTAAAGAATCTATTAAAACTTACACTCTTTTATGTTATGTCATGATTTTTGAGGAACGCTTGCACATTTGAATGGATTAGGTGTCCAAAAACTGTTTCGAGGATGTTCAACTAGTTTCGGGCCACACTGGGGCTCATAAATATAGTCGAAACTCGAAGAAACGCTCACTGCGCAGTCAACAAGTTTAGTTTTTCGCAGATTATGAAAGTTACTGGCAAACGAAAGTAGAGACTGAAAAAGCCCGGCAAATTTTAAAAATATCAGTATAGCCCAAAAATTAGTATGTCATACCTGGAGTAACCAGACGTGAAGACGTAACAAACAAACAAATTATTATAAAGTATCAAATTAGGTTACTCCAGGTATGACATACTAAGTTTTGGGTTGCTATACTGATATTTTTTAAATTTGCCGGGCTTTTTCAGTGTCTACTTTCGTTTTCCATACTCTAGTAAAGCATTATCATGATGGAGAGAGATTAAATTAAAATCAGAAACATGAACGGTATATAGCATTTCTAATCAACTCTTTTATTTTTCCAGGCAACAAGATGGCTGCCATACTCCGACGCAACACTAGCGCCATCCACGGTATTACAACCAGTGGCACCTGTCTCCTGCTCCTAACCTCAATACTACTGCACTTCGGTCTCCGATGACGTTAGTGCGGGACGGCAGATATTCAGGCACTGTATGAGAGAAAAGGACGGATATAGGATGCGTGTTGCGTTTTTATTTGAGGCAATTTTATTGATTCAGTTTTTTTTAATTTTAAAGATTAACTTGATAACCAGACTATATAAATGTTTGTGGAGCACTTTATTACTATTGTTTTCTTTTTTTTACTATTGTTTAATGTAAGCTAGAACCCGCTACTAGTAGTACAGCAATCAGTTACTGTATCAATCATGTAGACAAACAGACTGGATTCCATTTATAATGTGTCGATTTGTACGATTTTTATCTTTATTAAAATTCTAAACGAGGATAGAATATTTAAGCAGATATGGTATAATTCTAAATACGCAAACCCAACCATTTACCGACTGTTTAAGAAAAAAAATTACGTTTGTATTCTTTCAAAAAATTAAATGTCAATCTCAGAAAGTCCTCATACAGTGCCAACATAGTAAATTAATTTAAAAAATAATAATAAACCAATCATTGAATTGTAACATAAGGTTTATTGTAACATTATGAAATAATTAGTTTACGTAACAAATATTATATAAAGACGTAACTTAGTTACTTATTACTTAAATTAAAATTTAATATAGACACAATATTGTACAGATTATTGAAACAATTACTAGTAACTATAGCTAATAATATTATTATGAAATATTGCTGGATATTTGTGAGAGAAAAATCAATTGTGAACTTTGTGAAATTGTTCTGATGGTAAGTTTGATAAAGCTGTGTACACACTTGTGAATGTAATTAATACTTTTAAATATTTATAATAGAATATTATCATTATAATGGGCCTGTAACTTTTCTATGGAATAAGCCTGTAAACGAGCAGAAGAATCACCTGATGGTAAAAATCGGCGGCGCCCATGGGCACACGAAACACCAGAGGTATTACAAGTGCGTTATCGGCCTTTTGGGGATTAGGAATTTGAGGTTTATTAGGGAGATTGAGGATGAAGGTAATTGGGCCTCCGGTAACCTCACACACACGATGAAACACAACGCAAGTGTTCTTTCACGTCAGTCTCCTGTCGATCACTCCATTCGAGCCGGCCCAATTATGCCGAAGCATGGTTCTCCCACACGTCTATCCTACTTCTTTTTATACTTAATAAGTCGACGTTTAGCCACCAACTTGCCTGGTGGTAAGCGATGATGTGGCCGATGAAGGAGCAAAAATAGTGCTAAACAAAAAGATTTCTCAGATGGTAATTAGTATTGGTTACCACGTTAGCTCCAGTCGGAGAAACAATTTTTAAATTTCAAGTTACAGTCTTACTAATTAAGACTTCTTTTAGTACAAATGTCAAAAGGTTGTTCTAAATAGCACTACGTCCAAAGATAATCCCCAAAAGGCCGGTAACGCACTTGTAACGCCTCTGATGTTCCAGGTGTCCATGGGCGACGCCGATTGCTTACCGATTGGTGATCCGTCTGCTCGATTACCGGCTTATGCCATAAAAAAAAGAATAAGTCCGCATACAAGGACATTGAAAAAAACGGACATAATGTCACTTAGAAATGCTTGAAGCATCAAAATGTCAGTGGTTTATTTATGTGTGCGTGTGTAATGGGTTACCACAATACCAGACTTAAGAAAATGACAGATGTCCTTCGTGTCAATGTGTGTAATATGCGTGTAAGTCTATAGTAATCAGCAGCTGTAGCCAAATGCCATTTAGCGCTTGTCTACATGTAGAATATAAAACCAAATTATATGGAATTGACGTAAATTTTGACATTTGTCAGTGTCATCCCCGTACATTTTGATTTCTACTCTGTAGACAAGCGCTAAAGTGGCGTTTGGCTAAAAGCCCGTGTGCCACACTCTCGTGGTTTCAAGAGACTGTGTTCGCCTTCGTTTCAGTGTCCTTGTTCACAAATACAATACATTCATAAGTGTGTAACAGAATATGGTATACAAAACATAATACGTATATGAAAACAATACCAACTTTAAAAATTCGAATATTTATAAAACTATTTGTAATATTGTTGTTCTCGAAAAATGGTAAAATATAAGGTGAAAATGTTCTGTCATTACTATACCTATAAAATAATGCTCAAAAAATATTAACAAAATTCTGATATTCGTATGTAAATATTAATAAAATAGTTCGATTCATTAATATTGTAAATAATTAATTATAATAGGTTACATGGCGAACGGATTTTACTATTAATTTATCTTTATTTTTAAAACTATAAACCTTTTTTAAAAATAAAAAGGTGTTCTCAGTAAAAATATTTTAAAACATTATTTTGCTCTTGTAACAACTAATAAAATCTATGATGAACTTTAAATTCAATTTACAACTTGAAAAAAGATTTCAAAATGAAGTCAATTAACAATGTATTCAAAGAAAGGAGTATAGACTATTTATAATAATGTAAATCCGTGACAGACTCCTTACTACATTTTAATATTTAAAGGTATTTTAAATAATTAAATAATACGGCTAACTGATAAGCTATTCAACGGCGGACGCTTGCCGGTCGTTATTAAGAGACCCGGTTTTGGCTTGAAATATGTCGAGCGACCTTAATAAGTTAAATAAATAAGCCGTATTGTGTAATTAATTTAGTATGTCTCACGGTAGTTATTATACAAACAAAACAATTTATACAATATTAGTTTTATTTTGTATAACTTTTTTGTTCTTTGGTAACTTAGCGTAAAAAACTAGCCAACATTTTTTATTTAATTTTAACGTTATTTATATATAAATATGATAAATATAATCGATTTTACAGATTTATGAATATTTGTATGTATTTAAATTACATAATAAATAGTTCTATTTTAAGCTGTTTATTGTAACAAATGACTAGGTAATGATGAGACATGAGATTATTATCATTTCCTTAACCCTTAGAGCGCCATGTCAGTCACCGGTGCCTGACGCTAGTGGAGGTTTGACTTTCACCATTTTAAACTTGGCAGTTAAAGTATTAACCATATTTAATTAATTAAGAATATGATTACATATTAGATTTTTTTACTTAAATTCTACCACAAAATTTGGGATCGAACCCAGTTTATGGCAATAAGCTTATTATTTATCATATTTTAAGTGTGGGAGAGCCATGCTTCGGCACGAATGGGCCGACTCGACCGCAGTGATACCACGGCCTCACAGAAAACCGACGTGAAGCAACGCTTGCGTTGTGTTTCGTCGTGTGAGTAAGGTTACCGGAGGCCCAATTTATTACCCTCCCCTTCCCCAATCTCCCCAATTCCTGAATGCCCAACGATCCTCAAACTCCTAATCCCCAAAAGGCCGGTAACGCACTTGTAACGCCTCTGGTGTTCCAAGCGTCCATGGGCGACGCCGATTGCTTACCATCAGGTAATCCGTCTGCTCGTTTACCGGCTTATGCCATAAAAAATGGGATAATGGGACCCACAAGTTTTGTACCGCATAGCTCCAAAATTTTTAATAATAATGTTATGTCTCATACCGTAGTCAAAAAAATAATTTACCATTAGCTATGCCATTACCGTAATTGAATCTATGGTTTAACCATAGTCTAGAATAGCCATGTAAAATACCAAAACGTATACTTTGAACTAAGATTTGAACGTTTAAATCTAAAAGTTTGTTATCTCATGTAAATATAATAAGAAATAATAATTATTATTTATAATAATAATAATATTGTAATAGTAAATTAGTCTTATTATTAGATAATTTGTATATAAACTCATCAGTGTTACTAAATCATTTAATGTAAATACTATTTCGGTGATCATGTATGCAATAAATAATAAATTTCCTTGGATTTTGATTTTTATGTGTATGCTTATAAGGTTTTTTTAAGGACCCTCACGACAGCATATGCATCCCCATCATATAGATGGTTGGCAGGCCACAACTGTGCGCTTCTCACGTAGCTTCCTGCCTCGCACAGCAAAACTGTGGAATGATCTGTGGTCGGCGGTATTTCCGAACCGATACGACCTTCAAACCTTCAAGAAAAGAGCGTACTCCTTTTTAAAAGGCCGGCAACGCACCTGTGACTCCTCTGGTGTTGCAGGTATCCATGGGCGGCGCTGATCGCTTACCATCAAGTGATCCGTCTGCTCGTTTGCCTCCTATTCCATAAAAAAGAAGGATTTGTCATTGCGATGACCATGTAGCGACAGATGTTAACACAAAGTTCTACATCACCTGAAGTTTTCGTGCGAATTAACACGAATAGAAAATTCAAACGAAAAACTGTTGGGCAGAACGCCCACCAGACATGTTTACCTCGCCTGGTCAGATGATCCTCCTTCTCAGACCTTAAGAACTTAACTCTCTGTTCCCTAAAAACAAAATATAACCATAAAAATAAATTAAAACCAATGATATTATAAAGAAGATACGCTACGTTCATACTAAGCGGCGTCCAAAAATTGTTGCGTTCTTATTACAAATGTACTTAAATGTCATTTTCAACTACGTGCGACAGATAATACGGAAAGTATGGTATAGAAAGAGATAGCTATTTGATAATTACGACAATTGTCTGAATTCGTACGCAACAATTTTTGCGTGCCAGTGCGATATCTACCTCTTTTTATTATTTATAATATCATTGATTAAAACTAAATAATTTACGAATAAACAAAATAATAACTTCGTCAAGGCTATTACATGGGACTCATAACATAAATATTGAAATGAATGAATTTGACAATACCTATTCTTCCATATTAAAACCTGTCAAATGTCAATTTTATTAAGAATTGGCTAGTTTCCTATATTTAAAATATTTTTTTCAATTCAACTTTTCAATGCAATAAATAATTAAAAAATAATCATCTCTCATCGATTTGCCAATTTACCCACATTTGGATATTTTCTCGTTAATTTTAAGGAAATAAGTTTGCTATTTGACGCAGAAATATGATGACGTCATAAGTTGCGATCCAATACAAAATTCATAGAAAAGTATAGTTTATGACATTTCAATAAAAGTATTGAATTTGACTACCTGTCAACTACCGTATCATCTGTTGATTGTATAACCGGCCATTACCTCCGAATACTGAAAGGTTACTCAATTTTAAGTTGTACAAATATCGTGCCATCTCTATCATGTAACGAAGAATTTGTACAAACCTTTTGAGTATTATGACAAAAGTAATCTGAAAGAGGGGTAAACATGAAACACAATATATGTAACAATATTTATTTATTTATTATCTCCCAATATTTATTTCCACCATGATTAAAAACTCATTATGCCAAAACTGATAGAAATCCAAACCGTAACATTTGCAAAGGATTTTTTACAACTAATAATAATAATTACAAAATTATTAACAATTGGGTACTTGCCTTAATCAAAAATAAATTATTTTGACCAATCAATACAATGTAATATTAAAAAATATCACTTTCAGTAATTGATTTTATGACCAACTAAATTTTAGTATTCTTCCAGCTAATTTAAAAAAAAAAGTATGCTGTAACGTATACACAATATCGTACAAAATTCATAGGAAAACTGTCGTTTTTGACAGTTTGATAAAAAATATTCAATTTGACTAGTTGGCAAGTACCCAATTGTGTTTAACCCTTGTTCATTCTATTGTATAATTCATCAACGAATGCAAGGTCACTTTGAAATAAGGTACACTGATAAATAAACTGAATTAACTAAAAATTACGAGTTACTCACGTAAATATACTGAGAACAGCTCAACTAGTTTCGAGTCAATCGGCAGAAGAGGAAGAGTCCCTCTGTGACTCGAAATAAGTAGAGCTTTAGTTAATTCAGTATGTCTCACGATATTTATTCTAAAAACAATAAATAAACTGTTTCATTTTATAACTAAAAAACCTTTGAAAAAAATTATACACACCGTATACATTTATATTTGTGTAACCACAAAATAATTATATTTGTTAAATTTATTCTCAATAACAGCACGCGATCTCTAAATAGGTTCGTTATGTAGCGGTACTATCAGTATCTAATTACAATACTGGACTAATAAAACATCAAAGTTAAGAGTGGGAGAGCCATGCTTCGGCACGAATGGGCCGGCTCGACCGGAGTGATACCACGGCTTCACAGTAAACCGACGTGAGCAACGCTTGCGTTGTGTTTCGTCGTGTAAGTGAGGTTACCGGAGTTCCAATTACCCTCCCCTTCCCCAATCCTGAATCCCCAACGATCCTCAAACTCCTAATCCCCAAAAGGCCCGTAACGCACTTGTAACGTCTCTGGTGTTCCAGGTGTCCATGGGCGACGCCGATTGCTTACCATCAGGTGATCCATCTGCTCGTTTTTAATGCCTTAAAAAACTCAAAATTCAGAGTACTAGAAGTAGATACATTCGACAAATTTTAATTATGACTTATCACAGGATAGATGTGCTACACACATTCAAACACATTTTATCGGATAAATCGGTAAACGAGCGGACGGATCACCTGATGGTAAGCAATTGGCGCCACCCATGGGCACGTGGAACACCAGTGGAGTTACCGGCCTTTTGGGGCTTTGACATGAAGATTGGGGATTCGAAGATTGGGAACAGGGATTGGACTTGAGTCATGCGAATGTCCACCTAGGACATTCGCATGACTCAAGTATCCGTGGTAACAATTTTGGTGTGTATTATTTTATCAAATTCAAACGACAGATCAGTCGATTGAATTGAACAATAACGTTCTTGGATTCTATGCTGTTATCGAGAATTTAGTAATCAATATACAAACCAATTATAGCAAGTAAATAAATTATTACCCTTAAAACTAATCACTAGCACTTATAGGTAGCCATTTGTTAAAAAATCAACCCTCAACAATATACAATACATATTTGTTCAATTAAGTATTTTAATGAAACAAATATCACCAAATTGAGCTACTATTTTTTAAAGTACTGTTGGTAGCAAAGGTTTAGGGTCAGACAACGTATGGATCAAATCGATCACCGATCAAATCGATCAATCGATGGACCGTATGGATCACCGTATGGATATGGAAAGGTTTAGGATCAGATACCGTTTATGGTAGACACCGTAGCCAACTACACCTGCAACACCAGAGACATCGGCGATTGCAATCTACAGGATGTTATCAAGTCTACAGGAAATTAGACTGAATTGGTTATTTCTTGTTATAACTGTTACTGCAGGTCAGGACTGCTTTTACAATAAAACATTTAAAAAAAAACAATAATGGCAATAGGCTCACCCCCTATTACATGGGACTCATAACATAAATAGTGAAAAGTGGGTGTTACATTCTACAGTGGTAATTAGTGCCGTAATGTGCACCTCTGCATACCCCTTCGGGGATAAAAGGCGTGATGTTATGTTATGTTATGTTCATTTTTTAAACTTTGGCCTACGCTAGGATTTTCTACTGTTTCGTGGGTGCGTTTACAAACATACAAGTTCACATTCACATGACACCCAGACCCGAAAGAACAATTTGTGGATCACACAAAGAGTTGCTCCGTGCGGGAATCGAACCCGCGACACGTTGCCCGGCAGCCAGTTGTTCAGCCACCGCACCAACCGTGCCATCTTGAAATGAGCTCGCAGTAAGCAAAAGTTGAGTAAACGTCATCGAATACCTAATAAGCACGGCGCCAGCACGGCTCCAACACGGCGTTTTTTACTTTGGAAACAATACAAAAACGCGCCTATTACGCGTATATTTTTAAAACGATGAGCAATAATAAATATGTGTTTTCAATTATCATAAGTTACTTGGTTGTGGCTCAATATTGTCTTCTTCAATTCTCCTCCATCACACATCATCACATCACACCTTTTTGCATCACATAATACCTCAATATTTTTAATGTAGCTCTACGAGGACTTTCTTCTGTATTGTGTACAATACAAATACAATTTTCCCTTGTACCAAATTCAATGGCGATAGTTTTTATTACTAGTTTGTACCTCGTAATGCTCTCATAAGGTCATGCTAGCTTCTGCTGACTGATCCTGCTGCTTAATGAGGTTCCAGTAGAAACCTTTCAGTTTCTTCAACTGAGCGTGGGTGCCCATCTGTGAAACAAATGTTAGTTAAACAGGGATTTTCAAAAAGTAATTTGTATTGTAAAATTATTATGTTTTAATTGCTATTGAGAGGCGATGGCGCTTGCTATGTACTAAAAAGTGTCAGAGTGACTGTCAAGCCAGGAATTTCGGGTTCAATTCCCGAGTTAGGTAAAAAATATTTAGTTTTACCGAAATTCTCAATGATATAGTAGTGTAATAGTGGTATAGTAGTGATATGGTATTTTTTTTTAAGGGGGGAAAATCATCGAATGTCTGCTCCCGCCTGGGTGAGGCGGGAGGGAGTGTCAGACTCTTACTGACTAAAAACCACCCCGTTCCTTCTCCTGCACGTCGAGCCGGAGCCCCGGTTACCCGTTAGGTTCTCCGCGACAGTGGTATGGTATGCCTGATAATTATACGGCAGCTCGCCTCTTTTTGCGTAGGATTTACAAGATAACAGATAAAAATTGGGTCTAAAGTCTAATATAATACCTATACCTTTTAGGAAATAAAATGCTTGATATTATGTCACATTAAACTGTCAAACACCGCGAGGACACCGGTGACCGCAACCTATTGTTCTTTAATTTTGTCTATAATGACGGTACTCAAAGGGTTAAGTTATGTTATAACATTACCTCAACTATATTTCCCTTGTTCAGCACAACAATAAGGTCAGCGTTCATGACAGTGGACAGTCTGTGCGCTATGACTAGTACAGTGCGACCTTTAGCCGCAGTCTCTAACGCTGTTGCACTACTTTCTCGCTTGCCGAGTCCAAGGCACTAGAACATTGAGAAAATATATTTAAAACTAGCTACTTCGGCGCGGTTTCACACGCTCTGCTCAGCTTCTATTGGTCGTAGCGTGATGTTTTATAGCCTGTAGCCATCTTCGATAAATGCGCTATCCAACACAAAAATAATTATTCAAATCAGACTTGTAGTTACGGAGATTAACGCGTTCAAACAAAAAAAAACAAACTCTACCGTTTTATATAATAGTAAGATTGGTTAAAGTTACTTGATTTTAGACCCTTAAATATTGTGGTGGTCCGGAGGTTTCTCATGAGGGTGCGGGGTCGAAAACTACCAACGGTGAACGAGTACCAATGTGACTTTTTCCAAGTTATATGTACTTTCTAATATTATTTAGACACCACTGACAAACGGTGAAGGAAAACATTGTAAGGAAACCTGGGCTTATAATTTCTAAGTATAAGTTTGAAATCGCCAACTCGCACTGAGCGAGTGTGGTGATTAAAGCTTAAACCGTCTCCGTGTGAGGCTTTGCTCAGCAGTGGGCATTTATAGGCTGTAGATGATGATGATGATTTGATTTTGGACGCTACTACGATGTCATAAGACTGAAATCATAGTGGTGATATAATTTGTAATGCCTGGTAAAGTGTTGGGACGTGTTTGAGACTGTAAATAGTTTTCGTAGTGAGGCAGAGTATCACAAAACTTGAGAGCTTGATCTTTTTTGTTTACTTTATTGACCGCGCCCATCTCTGGAACTAATGCTACGAATTTAAACATTGTTTAACCTGTGCAAGATAGTCCATTCATTGAAGAATGAGCGCTACGATTAACAGAATCCAAATAGCTGGTTAAACCGCGCTGGAATAGCTAATTTAGAATACACGGTTATCGGTACTGTTTGAGCGAGCTCGACTAATTTCAAGCGACATTCGGGACCCTCATTTTTGAATCTTTGTATTTCTGACAATAGCTGTTTTACACAAATATAACACTATTTACTATTGTACCTTGTAGCCTCATCCAGTATAAGTATAGGAGGGTTCTTGAGCACGGCTCTGGCGATGGCTATCCTCTGTTTCTGTCCCCCACTGAGAGACATCCCCCGTTCCCCCACTAGAGTATCATATCCGTCGGGGAAGCCAACTATGAAATCGTGAGCATTCGCTGTTTGGGCTGCTCTGTATACCTGGCGAAAAGAGGATACATATTAAGCATGTTATTATTATTATTCTCATTATGTTCACATCTTATATTGTAACTAATGCAAATAGAAGGCAATTGTGTTAAAGCCATAGAATTTAAAGTGTTTTATTACGCCTATTACAATAAAACATGCATCAATAAAAAAAGTTAAGTAATCGTAAATGCGACTGTTACCGTATAGAATGTTCTTCTTGACGCTAGTACAGAAGAGTAAGAAAATAACGTGTGCCAAGAGGCTCATCAACAATGAAGCGCGTGTGGAGGCCCGGCTTCAAAGCCTCGAACACAGGCATAAGGTTGCAAGCCTTTCGGTTTTCTACCGGATACGTCTCGGTGAGTGTGCGGGGGAATTGCACTTGATTCCCTCTATTCCTCTCCATCATCGTATCACCAGACAATCGGTGAAGCGTCCGGTTCATGGTAGATGTCCCACCCACACGCACGAAGCGCTCCGCATCAAGCTATCTTGTGCGTACTGTGGAGTGGATTTTTTGCCAGAGTCTGTATTTCCTGAAGGGTATGTGTACCTGGGTATCTTCAAGGCCCGAGTGAATAGTTTGCTTATGGGACGCCGTGCACCATCGTAGACCGCACATCGCTTACCACCAGGGCAGATAGTGGTCAAACATCGACCCATCAAATATAAAAAAATAAACATAACCTTAGACCTAAAGCACCTCCTTGCTTGCGTATTAAGCAGAATAATGCCGGAATACTGAAACGTTACTCAATTTTAAGTCATGCTCAAATATCGTGCCATCTCTGTCATTTTACAAAGAATTTGTAGAGATAGAACTATACTTAAGCACGACTTAAAATTGAGTAGCGTTTCAGTATTCCCACATAAGTTACTGCGACACCGGCTCAAAGCAACAGTTTATTTAGCCAGTAAGACTCGACACTCCACGCCTCACCACGAGCGGGAAAAGTCATTTGATTAATTCTCCCTTCAAAAAAACACCTTAAGTACCAGCTTTCAAGCCTGCTTTTTGCAAGGCATTTTTAGGTGTCTACTAGCTTTAGTTTTAATTGAAAGAAAGAAAGAAAAAGCATTTATTTTTGCGCATAACACACATAACATAATTAAAAAATAAAATAAAATAAAAGTTATAAAAATGAAGTATTGTCCATGGTCCACAGACTTATTATTTTACTGAAATCATAGAATACTTAATATCTAATATTATCTGTGGACCATAGACAAGGAACACCCTACTTACTTCATATCTACTATCTATAGTCAGAATTTTAGTTTTTAATTCAAAACTACTTACATCCTCATCAGTAGCCTCAGGGCGACCATATCGTATGTTCTCCTTGACAGTAGTAGCGAAGAGTACAGGTTCCTGGCTGATGATGCCCAGCGCTCGTCCCCTCAGCCACTTGCCGTCCATCTGCCGGACGTCTATACCGTCTATTGTTACTTGCCCTGCGTCTACGTCGTAGAATCTGGAAGTTACATATTGTTATAGTAGTTGAGTGGATGAAGTATACAGAGCGGATATGAATGGGGCCGTCGGTAGAGGACGCCCTAGACGGACATATAGTGACCAGATTGGCGATATATTAAAAGTACCCTTAACCGACGAGCATTCATGAAAAGATTGATGACTGTTGATGAAGCGAAAGAGGTATGTAAGAATCGTAGTAATTGGCATTATATAGTCTCTGCCTACCCCCATGGGAGACAGGCGTGAATTTATTTATGTATATTGAGTGACGTGAGTTGTTGAGGACCGACGACATCACCAGAGCTGCGGGGAGCCAGTGGATGCAGGTGGCGAGTTGTCGTTCGACCTGGAGGACTAAGGGGGAGGGCTTTGTCCAGCATAGGAAGTCTTCCAGCTGTTGATGAGAGTATCTGAGTGTCGTGGTTGCTCAGAGGTTCAAGACACCCGCTTCTCATGCACGAGGGTGCGGGTTAGAAACCTACCAACAGAAAAGCACCAATGTGACTTTTCCGAGTTATATGTACTTTCTAAGATTATTCAGACACCACTGACAAACGGTGAAGGAAAACATCGTGAGGAAACCTGGGCTTATAATTCCTAATTATATGTATGATATCGCCAACTCGCATTGAGCAAACGTGATGATTAATGCTCAAGCCTATTCCGTGTGAGAAGAGGCCTTTGGTCAGCAGTGGTACTTATGCTATACAGTGGCTGTTGACGATGATGATGACAGTATTTGATTGTTAAAATGTAAATGTTATTTTGTTGTATTTTCGGAATACATCGTCAAACGACCAGACGGATCAACGAATGAGATCAATTACCAGCGCGTTGCCACCCTTTGAGAGGTTAAGATTTAGGGATTGACTGCACGGATGTCGCAATTTGACTTCAATTTGATTCCCACACGTAACATTGTTGTTTAGAGATGATGATGATGATATATTATCGATTTTAGTCTGGGTGTAATTTGTATGTGAAATTTGGCATAGAATAGGGTAGTTTCTAAAATTTTATTTTAATGTCCGTCTGATACATTAATTTAAAACTTTAGACACGTAGTTTTTCTTTTCTCACAAAATTAAATACTTTCGACGATATATTCATTTTAAATATCGTGTGACGTCACAGCGTGCCACATTTTGTAGCACGTTATGACGTAACAACCTCCCACTCCTAAACTTAGCGCCATTTTATCTAGGTATTGCAACTTAATACAAGAAAATAAAAAAACGTGTCTGATATTTTTTCATTGGCTAACTGACGGACTAATTAGTTTTTTTAATTTTGATACCATAGAAAATACCCAATTGTAAATGCACCCGCGATACAAGAGAAAATCTTAGTACTACCGTTTTTGAAACAAGATAATGTAAGTTAAGAATTACCTCTCCAACAGACAAGCGATTGTAGACTTGCCGTTGCCAGAAGTACCGACGATGGCCACCGTCTTACCAGCCGGTATCTTCAGGTTGAAGTTCTTCAATACTTTCTGTAACAAAATATTATTCCCAACTTCTTTTAGGTGTCAATTATTTACCCTATCTCGTAAGCAGAGTGGTAATAAAACTGACTACAAATAATATAAGGGTAATAAATTAAATTTTATTTTAATGTCCGTCTGGTAGATTATTTTAAAACACTAGACACGTATTTTTTCTTTTCTTACATAATTAAATACTTTCGACGATATATTGATTTCAAATATCGTGTGGCGTCACGATTTACTACATTTTATAGGAGGTCTAACAACCTCTCAATTCTAAACTTATACGACAAAATAAAAAAATGTGTCTAATATTTTTCCATTATCTAACTGACGGACTAATTAGATTCTTAATTTTCATACACTGTTTACTACCCTAGTATTGGGTACCATTCCAAGGTCGGGTAAAATATCATTAGACCTTTTTGGATCTTCGCAAGTTCTCAGTAGTAGCATTTTTTTAAGGGGGGAAATCATCGAATGTCTGCTCCCGCCTGGGTGAGGCGAGGGAGTGTCAGACTCTTACTGAGCCTGTACGTCGAGTCGGAGCCCCGGTAACCTGTTTGGTTCTCTGCGACTCAGTAGTAGCACACAGTTTGAAATTGTGTCCACAAATAAAAATACCTAATGTACATACCTACCTCTCCCATTTTCAAATTCGGGAACATCACACTTTGTTTCCGAAAATATGTAAGTTCAGTAGATATACAGTTTGTTTAAAAAAATAAAATAATAATAACTTATAAAAATATATGTCTCACCGCCTCTGGTCTGCTAGGATATGCAAAGCTGACGTCTTTGAACTCTATGTCTCCGTGGAACTCGTGGTACTTGATCACCTTCGAACCAGAACTGTCCATCATGGGCTTCTTGTTGATGTACTGGAATTGTTAAGGAATAATGGTTAAAGAACGAAACCAAAATTAAAGGAAAATTATATTTTTTTATAATAGTTTTGACAAAGGTTAATTTTGTAAGTATTGTAACTTGTATTACATAGGACTCATAATATAAATAGTGAAAAGTGGGTGTTACTGCACTGCGGTGCACATAGGTGCACCTCTGCCTACCCCTTCGGGGATAAAAGGCGTGATGTTATGTTATGTAACTTTGTCTCTTGTGATTGTAAATGCGACTGCATAGCAAGGGGTTTCGAGTTCAACTTCAAGGTCTGGTTATCAATAAGTAATTGTAAATGCTTTAACTAATTTTCATATAAACTCCGAGAGTTTTTGTTGGCTAATAATGATTACATGCTTCACATTTTACAAAATGCCTCGTTAGTCGACTGGTCGCTGGTGCCACTGCCTGGCAATGGGTCGATTACCGGTTCGGGCGAAGTATTACTACGTTTTTTTTTTGAATTCTCAATAGTAGCACCGAGGTTGTAAATGTGCCCGGTATATGGCAATAGGCTCACCACCTCACACATGGGACTCATAACATAAATAGTGAAAAGTGGGTGTTACATTGCACAGTGGTATTAAGTGCCGTAAGGTGCACATAGCCCTGCGTAGATAAAATATCAAATACATCTAATAATATTATTAAATTGACAACACAGAATCAACAAACAAACCACCAGCAACCAAATATAAACCTTAAACCTAATAAACATAAGATCTAACCTCGAACACGCGTCCTCCAGCACTGATCCCCTTCACGACTGACCCGAACAACAACGACAGTTGTGCAACAGACCGCTGCACCGTCTGAGCGTTCACTAGGAACGCCATGACGTCACCCGCTGACAACTGTCCAGATGCCATTAGGTGCCCGCCCATGAACATCGTGCCTAGAACCATCCTGGAAGAGAAATTTTTATAAACTCAAAACTCTGTGGGAGACATACAACTTCAATCATAGACGAGCATGACCGAAGCCAAGACTGAGCGCAGCCGACTAACCGCACATATTTTATACTAGCTTTTACCCGCGGCTTCGCTCACGTCACAAAAGGATAAAAAATAGCCTATGTGACATATACCAATACATACAGCGCCATCTATACCAATACTTTTGTTTTCCCTCGAGAATATCAAATTTTTCCGGGATAAAAAGCACCCTATTATTTAATCCAGACTTCTAATTTTACGTCTGCAAAAATTCAAAGCAATCGGTTTAGTAGTTACGGCGTTAAGTCGGAACAAACAAACAAACAAACTCACTTTCCGATTTATAATATTAGTAAGAATAGTAAGAATGCGGCTGCATGACGTTGTAGCTGTACTTTGATGACGACAGACGTGCGCCTACGCCTGCGACCCTCAGAACACTGAGCGGTCGGTCACCGCGTTAGTTTTTAATAATAATAAGATATAATAAGATATACGTAGCTATAAGTAAATTTTGTATAAATATGACCGTCTAAATAAATTCAAAATCATTTTGGTAATTCGCATAATTGGTGTTTTAATAAATACCCTAATAGAACCCATAACACAAACTCAAAAGCATTTATTTCATTTAAACCATAATTTGGTGCTTTTGAAACGTCAAAAAATATGAAATAAATAATAGTCTGTCAGTTTGTCCGTCAGTGAAGCTAGGCGCTCGTTCCAAAATGTCGATTCGAGTGGAGAAGAACGAGCAAGAAACTCCATTCGTTACTCTTTTAATTTAAAAAAGTCTGTTTTACACTGCTCTGATACATATTCCAATATTGTACACACGTGTGAGAATCTATCTGACGGACTAATTAGATTTTTAATTTTGATATCCTGGCAATTACCCTATTATAATGAATGCAACATATTTCTAAGATTAAATTAATGTACGTACCCATTAAGGAACAAATTAGTCCCCGCCTGGAACAGTCCAATCCCCAGCCCCAGCTCCATGCTGAGTTCAGCGGCGGCCCGGCACTCGTGCGCGAACAGCTGCGCCTCGTTCTGTTCGCCGGCGAACGCGCGCACTGTGCGCATGTTTGCTATCGCTTCCTCCGCTACTAGGGTTGACTTTTCTACCTGTAATATTTTATATGTTAACTATCGGACCCAACAGACGTTGTCCTGCATATCCACTTGAATGTATATTAAACAAAAATTCATTCAAATTAATTCAGCTGTTTAGGTTATTTATCATAAGTTTATGGTTTTAATGAAGTCTTCCGAAACACAATTTATCGGCAATAAGAGGGTGATATTACTGGTTTTTGAGTATTAAATATGGAGATTAACTTTTTAAAGACAATAAGAATTAAAAAGTGTGATTAATTTTATATATGAAACTAGCGGACCCAACAGACGTTGTCATGCATATCCACTTGAATGTATATTAAACAAAAATTCATTCAAATTAGTTCAGCTGTTTAGGATACATAACTTAAACATCGACTGCAGCGCCATCCGCCGGGCTGATTTGTGAATCTAAATCATTCCCAAATCCCCTTGAACACACACAAAAAATTTCATCAAATCGGTCCAGTCGTTTGAGAGAATTTCAGTGACATACACACTCACAGAAGAATTATTATATATAAAGATTAAAAGTAAATTCTGTTTCCTATCTCAATTTTCTATTTGTTACTACATACTGTGTCATTATATTATATATGTCTTTACCATTCACGGGACCACAGGGTCCCGGTCATTTGGGCGGCGTACGAAGGCCCGAAGCCAACTGCGCATAGGCCCTTCAGACAACTTTAATCTAAATGTAATGGACATACTATTATTATTTTAATTAATATGATATTAATTAAAAATAATATAAAAAAATGATATAAAATGATAATTTTTAATCCCGGGTCGGGCAAAGTATTACAAGTTTTTTCAAAAAATCCGTTATAGCACGGAGTCTGGAATTGTGTCCGGTATATAGCAATATGCTCTCCCCCTATTACATGGGGCTCATAACATAAATAGTGAAAAGGGTGTTACATTGTATAGTGGCATTAAGTGCACTAATCTACACCGATGCCTACCCTTTCGGGGATAAAAGGCGCGATGTTACGAGTATCTAATGAAGCCTAATACTAACCTGGTAGTAGCGTGTTCTACCAGGAAAGCCTACCTTTAAAAATCCTACTTTATTTAATAATAATAAAACTTAAAAATACACCAATTATTCACTCACCTGCGTTTGCGCTTCTCTCGAGAGCTTCCTAAGCAAGGATCCAATGAATGTTCCTCCAATAACTACCGACGGCACACAGACCAAGGTTAAGCCTGTCAACTGCGGCGATATCACTAGGAGACTGACTGAAGACCCGACCACCTGGAAATTGAATTTACACCTTTATTGTGTGAATAATAAGTGTGAGTTTTAATTAACTAATATTGATAAAATAGAGATGATGACAGGGTACGAAAATTAAAAATGTAATTAGTCCTTCAGTTAGGTATTGAAAAAATATTAAACACGTTTTTTTTTATTTTGTTGTAGGTATAATAAAATGATACTTAGATATAACGAATCAAAGTTTAGGAGTGGGGGCTAAAACGTCATCTCTACGTATAAAATGTTCATAGATGTGACGTCACGCGACATTTCAAATCAATATATCTACGAAACTATTCGTTTCCGTAAAAAAATAAAAAATACGTGTCTAATGTTTTTTAGTAATCTACCAGACGGACATTAAAATAAAAATTAGTCATCTACCCTATTCAACATTCAACTGATATAATTTAATTTTTAATACTCAAACGCTACTCAATTTTAAGTCGCGCTTAAGTATAGTTCTGTCACTACAAATTCTTTGAAAAATCACAGAGATGGCATGATATTTAAGCACGACTTAAAATTAAGTAAGGTTTCAGTATACCAGCATAAGTGTAAAAACTAACCTGAGTAATTGCTCTAAGTCCACCTGAAATCGTTTGTTTGAAAGAACTCTTGAAATCTTGCACATCTACTGTCAGCCTGAAATGCAAAAAATATTTACATAAGAAAAATGACTGTAGTTACAAGAACAAGACTGCCCAGTTGGCCGAGTGGTCGAAAGTGCGACTACTGGGTCGGGCAAAGTATAACTGGGTTTTTAAAAAATTCTCAGTAGCAGCATGGAGTCTGGAATTGTGCCCGGTATATGGCAATCCAATAGGCACACCCCCTATCACATGGGACTCATAACATAAATAGTGAAAAGTGGGTGTTACATTGTACAGTAGCATAATGTGCATTTCTGCCTACCCATTCGGATATAAAAGGCGTGATGTTATGTTACAAGACTAAGGCGAATTACTTACTAATAAAAAAATATTCTTGTAAATTCATTTAACACAATCCTTTGGATGGCGTGTCGGACAATGATGATCGACGCTAGTGGACAATAATTAGCCTATAACAGTTTTTGTCGGCAGTGAAAGGCTTATAGTAAATGTCTTTAAGAAAATAAGTTTAAGATTGGTCATAATTCCACTTCTTTCATAATTTCACAATTATCCCATAATTTGGTACTTTTGAAATATCAACAGATACCTACAAAATGAATAATAGTCTGTCAGTCAGTCTGTCAGTGAAGCTAGGTGAAGCTAGGTGAAGCTAGGTGCTCATTCCAAAATGTAGATTTGAATGGAGAAGAACGAGCAAGAAACTCCATTAGTTACTCTTTTTAAAAAAGTATGTTTATGTTTAAGCTTAGTGGCATGCATCTACAATGTCTCTGATACATATTCCCATACTGTATGTATATGTGAGAACAATGTAAACACACGCTTGACGCATTATACCTCTAGGTACTAATTACAAACCTTACTAAAATAAAAAAATCTTATAGTCTAACATGGTGCTCACATATGCTTACTAACAATCCATAAAAATAGTGCTTCTATACAAGAAAAGGAAACTCTTTGTTTAATAATAAAGTAAGAAATGCTCGATACCATAAGGAAACTAGTTTGTCTACATTAGAATGAAAGTATTAAATTATTATTATTTCTACTACACTCAGTTAATTTTATTGGATTTTTTAACGTTATTCTTTTGAAATAAAGTCGAGAATCCAATACATACCTATTGACAAGTTCTCCGGTCCTCTCCTGGTCAAAGAATGCAATATCCTGTAGTAGAATAGACTCGAAGAGCTCCTGCTTCATCTGTGCAGCCACTCGCTCACCCACTTGTGACAGGAGATGGATGTACATGAATGTGAATATTGCCTGAAAATAATTACAATTATTTTTTTTAAAGTTGCCCCACACTAGGATTTTCTCCTGTGTCGTCGGTGCGTTTACAAACATACATGTGTATGTGACACATAACAACCAGACCCGGAACAACAACTTGTGGATTACACAAAGAGTTGCTTCTTGCGGGATTCAAACCAGTGACACATTCCGTGGCAGCCAATTGCCCAGCCACCGTACCAACCGTGCCACCAGTCAAATGTTAGGAATGATTACAAAAAATATATTTACCTGTCCAATATACAAGGCAACCAGTTTGAGCGCAGGCCCTCTGATGTTATCCAAGAAGTCTGCACTAGGATTCTGTCTCTGGTTGGCTAGCACATTCACAACTTCGCCTAACACCGCTGGTATGTACACGTTGAAGAAAGCCACCACTAATGCTGACTGGAAGAAAAATTGAATTCCTCTTTTATATGAAGTTACATTAAAAGTTGATGGAATAGTTATTATGGATTTTACAAATTATCCTTTAGAAGTAAAAGAAATAATAAAAAAAATGTACACAAACATTTTTCTTAGATAACATTTGAACATCATGAATTTACAAATCATTTGTCACTTTAAATATTGTTATTCAGTTTATTGTAGACTTCAAAACTGAAATAATATAAACACAGGCATATTGAGCTTTACTCACCCCTATAGCTGCTAATAAGAGCCATTTATGCGGTTGTAAATAAGAGAGGAATTTATCCCAGTCAAACTTCGAATTGTCTTCGTCTATATTCGGCCTTCTTTGGATAACCCTAGACGGGACTGTATGGGCCTTACAGTACGCCGGACCATTGCTAAGAAAATAACGAGCCCCCAACGCCAAACTGACCCCAGTACACAACTTCCATGGACTACAGAGCAACAACAACCCCGGTTTTGCATTTTTCTCCGACGTAGTTTTAACCTCAGAAAAATATCGTTTTACGACATTAGACGGTTTACTTTTCATAAAATTCGTAAAATATACATTGCTTTTAGCTGTTAGCAGTCTGTAAAAAATGTTTTAAGTTAGTATTATGTGTAAATTTATGTTTATTTATTAGTATTCATTAGTTTAAGTTCACGAATATTTACCTTTGTCTAACAAGCTGACAAGAGCTCGTTTGCAGCAAATGCCACATTTTTATAAAATTACACTTAATATTCTACAGAACAAATACTTAATTACACATTATTTTATTCTTAATTATCAAGATTATGTAGATTATTTCCTGAAAATTGATTTGATAACCTCAATCTTTAATCAATGTCATTGTCATAATATCATGACGTAACAGGTTTTGTTCAGAAATAAGAATGATATTTGGGCTAATAATTTACAGTTAAACGTTTGCATGTTATTTTAATAAACGTAATAACTCTAAGGACTAATAATTATCGTAATCGTAACATAGATACTGTAATGTTGAAAAAACACTAATGACTTTTAAATTTCTGAACGAAGCATATAATTCCATTTCACGCAATATGCACTTTACAGCTGTCAAATAACTTCCAATATTTTACTAACAGATAGCAGCACAAGAATGTGATGTTTGTTGTTTGTCAACAAAGTAAGTAATCCTTAGCTTTCGGTAACAGATTACTAGATCCTAGATTATTTATTTTATTCTTATGTATAAATCAAAATAACTTTAAGTACCTACTAGGTCATAACGTTTAAAAAAGGGATCGGTAGCTACCTAAGTATTTTCTTATCATTAGGTACCTACCTAACTAAAGTACTTACCTAGTATTAGTCAGTAAAATATTGCAAAATTAGCACAATTTAAGCTATAGGTAATTACAGAATATCTATATTAATTTCATTCGAGATAAAACAGTCCCATCCCTACGTGAATAAAATAAAACTATTCCACACACCAATTGACCACAGTTATAAATTTCACCCCTGACGAGTCGCGATCAAAACGCCGCGCCCCTTACAGCACCGCCACTATAATCCCCGGCCCCTTCACCATTGAAATTCACTAAAGTGCTGACAATAAAACGCATTCCACATTAAATAATGTTTAATTTGTTTGGATTCATTGTTGCTGTTTAATAACTTGCAATGTTGCATGGAAACGAATTCTGTTTGAGGTTAATGGGTAGTTATTTTCATTATGTCTTTCGAGTATTTAGGACCTATCAAATAATTTTTATTTCCTGAAGGGTATTACCTTAGAGTCCTTAAGGCCCGAGTGAATAGGTTGCTTATGGGTCGACGTACTCCATCATAGACCGCATCATTGCTTACCATCAGACGAGACAGTGGTCAAACGTGTCGGTCCATCAAATATGAATGTAGGATATGAATATTTGCCGCTACTCAGACTTCACGGGGTATCTTATGGACTGAGCTGACTAAAGGACTATTTTATTTTATTTTATTTTATTAACGCTTCATGCACAAAGTGTTCACAAGGTGGACTTAATGCCGCAGGCATTTTCTCCCAGTCTGACCTTTGGGTGATGCAGAGAAGAGTGAATGGTAGGAGCACTATTCCACTTCAGTAGAGAAAGGGCAGCAGCGTTCTTTAGCAAACCTGGACCTTTAACGCACCAATGATGGCACGATCTCCAATCATCTACCAACTGTGAAGATTGTGGTACTCCCTCACTACTAGAGGTCAATCAAGCAGTGGATTGTCCAGACCTATTGATGTTCAGAACTGTTATGATGGTGCCAATAGTACTAAGGCTGTAAAATTCAATATGGCTGATGCCCATACTATCTTGCCCTGTGCACTTACAACTATCTTCTTCGATCTTGGGAGTTACCGTCCGTTGTCCACATTATTCCAGCTAGTATTTTGGTGATAACTTCCCAATAAATTTTCTTCTTCATTGGGTAGAAAAGTCGTTAACAGTGTTTCTATTTTATGCTCTTCAAAGTTCTGTTCATACAACATACAACAATCCACCAAGGAGTATAAAGTTCAAAAAGTATTTTCCTTTATGCTTAACACAGAACGCAGTGCGATCATTGCGTTGAATAAAAAAAAATCACAGATGGTCAAGTGGCGGGAACGCGCCCCGGTTTTGGCGCCAATATAACCTATTGTTTAACACAAGTGGGCCGTACAAAACGGTATTATTTGTGTATCGCTCGTTTTCATTTGATTTTATGCCATTTAAAGTTGTTTGGAGAATTTGATTGTTGATAATTTCATTTTGAGTGGTAGGATAATTTTTATTTTATTAATATTTTTTTCTTTGTTGACATCTGACGCTGTTATAGCTACCGTACTTATCTTAAAATAATAAACTGTGGTCGTAAGAAGAAAATGTATTAGGTACGTCTATCTTCTGAAGAGAGTAGTTGAGGAGATTTGAATCAAAAAGGAGGTGGGTACCTACTACTTTTTACTTGTCTACGGCAAAGCAAAAGGAGGGTTATGATTTTTTAAAACAAAAATGGTCAGTGTTTATTACTGTTTATTTTCCGTTTTTTTTTTAATTTCTAATTTTGTAATTCATAGAAGTTAGGGTTATACCTACATAAGATACCTACACATTTTCTTTCATATCTTCCCAAGAATAAAACAAGCTTATAATTTGCACAAATGTTAACTATATAAAAGTAGGTGATATTTAATTTGTTATGTTAACTATTTAAAAACTTGTCAATTAAAAATAAAATGAAATATTAAGATATTTAACAGTTTTTAGGTAGTTCAAGAGATTAAAATTTTCGCTAGTTTCGATTCTGATTCCGACATATCTCTCGCCCGCCCGTCGGCTACTCTTCCGTCGCTATCGTGTGCCGCCGTCGGTAAATATAAAATCACTAGCTCGGTTAAATTGTCTTATACTGACACATAATCAAAGCTAGGTTAACATTTTCTAAAATAAGCACTAAAACAAATATAGGTAGGTATAGGTATAATGGAGTCTAAGACATGCCATAGAATTTCTGAACAACTTTGCCTAACTAAAGTATTCTTGTTTGGCAGTCACTCTACCAAAACGGTGATCCCATAAATGAGTCGACAGATATCTTAATCTTCACAAACTCCTCTACTTATTTACTGATCAACGACCCCTCAAATCAAATTCTCTCAACAATAGACAATATTAATCATCGTTCGATTCCCACACTGACCACGATAATTACCGTAAATCGGTAAATCTCAGTAAACAAATAAATCACTTATAAATTAATTTATTTTAAATCACAATCGATTAAAATTAAGGCATGGGAAAGGGCACAGGGATCGGCTGAATGCACTTTCACTTCCAGCCACTTGAGTTATTAAGAGAGACCTAAACCTATGTACCTAAGTTCGGTACGGTGAACATCTTTGCAGCTGGCATGCTGATAATAGTAATTATGACCAGATAGGAGAGTTTGAACTAAAATACTTAATCAATATAATACTTGGAACAGAGATCATAGTTATGAAATAATAATGCATTGTAAAAAATAAAACATAAATTGGCATTGTATTGCTAAACTTTTTATTCGAGGTCCAATGACTTCTCCCGCCTGGGTGATGCGAGAGGAAGTGTCAGACTCTTACTAACTAAAAACCACTCCATCCTTACTACTGATCTTCGAGCCGGAACCCCGGCAACTCGTTAGGCCTTCCTCGGCTCCGTATCAGGCATCAGCCCTACTGGTCCCTATCTGTGGTGGTCTGCTGGCTATTTGAGGCGCGCGCGGAAGCTATTGCTAAACGTTTGGTTTCTCTCAAAAATGTTTTTTAGTCGACTTTTAATTGACACATAAGAAAAATTCCAATAGAATAGTGTACTAGTAAGTTAGTAACCAAATATATTCTAAACTGCCGCACACTGGTTGCTTGAAAATCAACAAATCTTTTTATAAACTACATTTAAAAATCCGACTATAAAGTCGGTAGGGCCCCCCTTTTTTTGTTCTTCTAAATGTACCAAACACGTTTCTGAAAATCACATCAAAATCGGTTCGTCCAATGGCTAGATAATTGCGCACAAACTGCGAACCTCCTTCTGTTTTTGAAGTCGATTAGTAAATAAAGTTCACAATATAAAATGGCCTTTAAGTCATTAACCAATGCCCAATATCAGCTTCCACAAGATCAGACAAACTCGACCGATTTGTCTATTGTAAGGTATCATAACAATTTAATCGTCCATCCATCTGTCACAGCTACCGGCTACTAGCCTGTGGGTAAATATCAATAATGTTCAATAACTACTAATACCTTAATTTATTATCTGTCTGACAAAATACCCGGTCGTTTAGACCCTTTATTAACCCTAAATGGTCGGGGCGTGATATTTTGAATTCGCGTGGGATTATTACGCTTTTATTAGTTGCATAAATAAATAAATAATTTTGTCTATGCTGATGTTCGGTGCGGTATTCGAAATTTGAAACTTAAAATTTCCACAACTTTATGGCATTTTAAAATTTTTTTTTTTAAATAATGGCATACACAGTGGTACCCGCTTATGCAGTAGTAAGTAAAAATAACTAAAAATTAAATAGTAAGTAAACATTTCGTCAACTCTTTTGATAATTAATTACATTTTTTTTATTTTTTTATTTCATGATGAGATATTTAAAGGAGATATGAACCACAAATACACTACAGAACGTAAAAAATGTAAAATGACGTCACAGTCTAAATAAAATAATGGTAACTACCTACTTAGACGCTAGTTGAACGTGTTTTAAATAACAAAAGAAGTTAATAATGAAATATTTATTTGACGAGTACCTACCTATTAACATTTTCGTTCGATTCCCGCACGGAACAACTCTTTGTGTGATCCACAGACTGTTGTTTCGGGTGTCATGTGTATGTGAACGGGAGAAAATCTTAGTGTGGGACAACGTTTTCTTTTAAAGAAATAAAAAAACATTAAAAAATAAATAGAACTTTAGAAAAAAATTTGCGAATAATGCGAATTTTGCTTACACGTTACAATTCACTGTTTAATCAGTGTTTTTCCTTTTATTAATAATTTACAAAAGAAAAATGTTTAGTCAGTACCAAATAGCCGTGGAAGTTTGGTACGTTCCATTTGTTTGTTGAAATAAAATTACAATAATTTCGCTAACCACGTGTATGTGATAGTGAAGCATAGAAGTAGAAAGGCCATAGCAGTTTACAACTGGATTATAATGGCTCTAATACAAAAAAGGAGT